AGAACAAGGGGCTAGCCAATGCATTTTAAAGGCAACAAATCTATGTCTAATAAGAGGGGAATGTAGTCTCCATAATACATAATTAACCCATGGAACTCACTGCCACAAGATATTGAGGTCAAGAGTCTAGCAGGATTCAACCTTCTTTTGGATAATTAAGCCATCCAGTCATCCTGGATAAGGACAGAATTATGTCCAGGGGCTTCAAAGATAGAATCAGCCACGAAGTGACGAGAGTTAGGAGGAAGCTGCCCATATGGTTATGCTATTTCAAAATTGTCCATAATGGGGTTTCTTGCACCTTTTTCTGAAGCATCTGGTATTGGCCACTGTCACACAGGCTCCCTGGCTAGATGGACAGTTTATTTGACTCAGTATGATGATTCCCATGTTCCTATCTAGATGGATGTCTCAATGGAGTGGGGAAGAATAGGGACGGAGATGGAGGTACAGAGGGAAGGGAAGGAGAAGCCAGGGCCTATCTGCTCACTTGTTGACCAATAATGCGGGATGAGACATTTAAACACCATGTGCTCATGTCAGAATAGTTGTGTCTCATTTCCTACCTCTGCTGCCATCATTGATCCTTGCAGAGGAAGCCAAGTCTTGCTCACTCTCCCCAGTCCCTCAATATTGTTGGAGTTCCCCCAAACCTCTTCCAGTTAGCTCCCCAAGAACTCAGTCCGACTCCAGTCTAGTCCCTCAGGTTCCTTTATTTGATATATAGCAAATCTACCTTATCTCACTGGGGGCCATCAGCAGTTGAAGTAGGATACAGAATTACAGCTACTGTGTTAAAACAAAACCACACCACCTTTCTCCGCTGCAATGGCCTAGCTAGTACACACGTCACAGAGCTTTAACAGCCCAGCCACCAGGAAGGCAGGTGCCGTCTCGAACAGGAAATCAGTAAACAAGAGCTTGGTAATACAGATCTGTCTGCTTTCATTTGCAGCTGTTCCTACCTCACCACCGACGACACCAGAAAAGGACCTGACCGTTGCCACCTCCCCATGGACTGTTCCTGAAGTGGAAAAATCCACCTCCTCCTTTAACAGTAGTCATCCTCCTGCCAGGTGAGTGCCCAAACTCATGCTAGAGGCACTGTGAGGTCTCCTTTCACCAACTCTAGGGCAGGTTTGGGGTTTCTACACTGTGCTCGAAGTCAGGACTACAATCCCTACAGAGGCCAAGGCTTTAAGTCAAACTCACGCAGCCTGGAGGATTCTAGAACTCTCAGGTCTCTGCACTCCAGAGGCATTGAAGAAAAGGATTTGTAGCTGAGTTTACAAGTTGAGATGAGGCATTTATCATCTAAGTCAGAGCTAGACAGTCCTGCTGTTATACAGTCCTTCCTGTCCTGCAAACTATGTTCTGCCCTGGAAGGTGAATTCCATTGCATTATACTGTATTAAACCCACACTTGCAAACAAAAAGAAAGCAAACTCCCGCCCCCTCCCCCACACTCACCACTCTTCCAGCCTGACATGGTCCAGTTTTAAAGTGCTAGCACTGCATTTCCCCTCACATCTAACCTGCAGGACTCTTGCTATTCTATTGGGCTTTCCAGTCAGGCAGGGAGATATACTGCACATGTCAATCACATGACAGACTAGCTGATATTTTCATCTTGAAGTTGTTGTCCACTGATTCCTTCACACTGCGGCAGAAGCAGGTTACAACCCCAGCTCTGGAAGTGGTTTGTGACATTAAATTCTGTATGATTGTGTCTTTAATTTTTTTAATCAGAAAAGCCAAAAATTCATGGCAAAAGATGCAGTGCAAGTCTCTAATCGAATAATAACATCTAGCACTTTTCTTCCACAGGTTTCCAACCACTTTACAAAGGAGGTCAGTATCATTAACACCATTTTATAGATGGGAAAACTGAGGCACATGTGGTGACATGACCTGCTCAGGGTCACCTAGCAGGCCAGTGGCAGAGCCAGGAATAGAACTCAGGTCTCCTGATGCTAGGGCCAGGGCTCTCAACACTAGGTAACACTGCCATCCCTAAACAAAACAGAGATTTTACCCTTGCTCAGCTGAAAATAATCTGACAGTTTTAACCTGATCATTTAATTTAAAAAGAGTTTGCTTTTAAAATGCCAACCACAGTGGGTTTGTTAGGGTCACTACAATCGCCCTCACTGCTGTTGCACTCCGTAGGTTTTTGTTGAGATCAGACCTTCGTTAGGCACTGTGCTGAGCCCAGAAAACTCATGTCTCCAGTCACCTCAGATGTATTTAGGTGCTTAACACTCATTGAGGTCAGGGGGAGTTAGACATCTAAATGTCTTTAAAGACCTAGGCCCTAGTACACGTTTAAACCCAGCTGTGCAGAGAGGAAAGCTAGGACTGCTTTAGATTGCCAAATTTTCGTTTGCAGAATGGTTTCTGTTTATTCAGTTTGATGCTGAAATCCAGCGTAGCAAGTTGTTAGCCTCAGATCTGCAACTGACTCCATGTGCTTCTTTGACGCAAGTCACTGTACTTGTGCCTCAGTTTCCCAGTTGTAAAAAACAGATAGGGGTTGGCTAATACTTCCCCACCCTTTCCAACAACTTGAGAGGGGAGCAAGAGCTATGTCTAATCTTTATATAACAAAGTGTGACCGTTAAGAGTAGAAACAAACATTCTCTTCTCCTTCGCCTAGTATACCAAACCTCGTCCTCCTCATCCTGATCCCATCCGTCCTGCTGGTTCTCCTTTTGATTTTGTTCATTGCTGTAAAGTTTAGAAGAGCATCACGGAGGAGGAGCAAAGGTAAAAATTCTCTGATCAGTTTTGCTAGTAAGTGTCACTTCATTCTCCAGATGGTGCAGCCCAATTATTTTGCTTCCTTCCTAAGGACCCTACTGTCCCTGTCACCAAAATAACAGCACAAGACAGACACTCTCTGAATTCACCCCATGTACTTAGTCAGTTACTCCATGCAGCAGATCACATGGCCGTACAAACTGGTAGAACCCCACAGCACGCCCAGCCCCAGTGATGGAGTAGGTACTTGGCTCAGGCTAGATACACCAGCTGGCTAGTTAAAAAGCAAACAAGCCAGTTGTTTTTGACCAAGTAGAAATCAGTTGTTTAAATAAGATTCATTAACACTCAGCAAAAGAAACAGAGAAATACATTCCCCTTGATTACCTGATTTCATCAGCTGCTCCTAAGAACTGCTCCTCCGGCTGTAGTGATTCCCTGCTTTTCCTGCAAAGCTATCTACCCCACAAGCCGGGCCGGCTCTAGGTTTTTTGCTGTCCCAAGCAAAAAAATGTTTGGCTCCCCT